ATCTGTTTCAGATAATTTTTTATTACCTTTGGGATAAAGGTGGATGTTGTTTGATGTCTCACAGTGCATTGGCACTAACAGACATGCTCATGATATCTTCATTGCATCACAGTGTGTGAAAATTCTCATACTCCATCTTATGTCAGATTCCTTGAAGCATGACACACTACTGGAATCAGCAAGTTTAATATTGCATTATCCACTTCTCATTTCTTGCATTGCAAAGGATAACATTGGCATCGGCATATAAAGTGAAGATATCTTCAGAAACCATAGCAATGATCATACTTCCAAGATATTTCATTGGCGGTACTGAGATTGTGAAAGGCAATACATTTAAATGAAAGTCTGTCGTTCCTGAATTTCAATAAACCCTTCTCACCAGTCAGTGTGTGTGTCATTTTCCATTCTCACACTAACCTTCCTGTGGCCTCTCTGATTGAGATTGCCAATTGGGACTCAGTTTTACACTGTTGGTCCAAACTGACTGGGAAACAGTCAAAAATCTCAAGCTCAAAGCCAACATTTTTCACATAATTACACACGGTCCCACATGGAAGGTTTTCTGGTGAACTCTGAGTGCCATTTATAAAATATGTGCTGTGGTATTTCAGACTGCAAATTGAGCTGGGATTAAACAACAAGCTTCATGACCAACTACCCATTGTCTACCCTTCATAAACCTGAGCTCAAACAGAGTCGTATAGCCACTGTCGCTTTATTCTGTGCATTAGACTCATGCTGCTAGCATCATTAGGGATATTTCCTTCACATCTCTGGGCTCTGCCTAACACTCTGCTGGAGGTTGTTGGCTCCTTAAACTCAAGTAAAGCTATTTCCCACCTAATGTGCTGTAACATTCTTTTATTTATATCTACAGACTGCAAACTATTAGATACAGCTCTCTAGTGAAGTATCTAAGACCTCTGTCTTTTAATGCACTGTCTAGTCTGGTGTTGTCTCTCAATTTCTCTTACTGGCAGAGTCATACAGCCACAGAGGTCTACTGCTCAGGAAAAAAGGCCCTTCGGTCCATCTAGTCTGCACCAGTCAAAACTAGCGACCTAACTACTTTAATGCTATTTTCTAACACTTGGCCCATAGCCTTGTATACCTTGGCATATTTCCTTTGTATATAATAAACCAGATGTTGCTTGAGCATGCCAATGGCTCTGTAATCTCTCCAACATGCAACAGGGAGGCAGCAGTAATGGGCCATAGATACTGAAAATTCAACTTTAGAGAGGAATACAGTCAGGGGTGTAAAGGTGGTACCAAAGCTTTCGAAGGAAATAAGTCTTTGAAGATTTGGAAAGCAGCTTCAGAGGTGAGGTGCAAGCAGTTCACAGTCAGAACAGCAATGTTGAAAGAGGCTGCATCATTCTGTAGTAGACTGTTGAGAAAATCCTGAAGCAGAGATTGTAGGCTTTGAGTCAGAAATCAAACATGGTCACCAGGATTATGTCTTTCACAGGGGTGAGGCGAGAGTAACTAGGCTGCAGGCCTGCAAGTAATATCCAGAGAAAATTGAAATGAAAGAGTCAGTGGGAAAAAGGGGCCACTCAGAACAGAACGGGAGGGAAAGGAAAAAAGGAGCTGGAGGGTTGAGGGGACAAGTGGATGACCAAGCTGAGCCTGTGACTATCTGCAAAGTGTAATCCTCTTCATCCCAATCACAATGTGCAATGGAAATGAGAAATGGCTGCCAGCACACAGCGGGTGGCTGGACTCAGCATTTCTAATCTTACTGAGCACATGGCCCCTGTTTGGGAACAATGTGAGCCCTTTGGGGCAATTATATAAATCAGGTACTTACACTCAGTCCAGGGTGTGGACCTCTGTAATCATAGGATTCTGCCTGGGAAATACGCACAGTGTCCAATGACAGGAAACACATAGTCCTGGTCCCAAACAATCCTGACCATCTCATTGGTCACTACAGACCAATTACAGTCATCTCTCTAAAGCAGACGTAATCACAAGTGAGCTTAAAAATCTCACCTGTGAGCCACAATTCACAAAGAGAATCCAAAATCTTATTGGCTGTCCAAGGGCACGGAGCTGATCCCCTCTCGCTTTGAACTGTAAGTATTCACCAACATGCTCTCAGCCTTTCCTGGGAGATGTGGGTGGTACGGGAGGGAGTGATGGAGGTGGGGTTTCTATAATCCTCGCACAGTTACAGGCTCCCGCTGTGTTTGTACAGAAGTGGTTCATGCTATATTCATCAGAATAAGGTCCCTGTGTCCAAGGTCCATGTGGACACATCCCATGGCTGTCCATGTTGAAGTGTACCATTTCCCACTGGATCGAGGGGAGTATGGTAAACCATCGTTAGTAAACCAGATCACATGGTCCATCTTGTTTCCCAGCAACAGTGTTAGGGCTACGGCCCAGTTTGTGTGATTCAGCAACAGAGCTGCAGGGCTCTATAGACTGCCCAAACATCACATTAACAGGCAGACCCAGTCAATCCAAAAGGTTTCCATTCAATAAATGTACCAATCACACCTGAGCATCAGTACCACATCTTCAAGTTCTGTGGAAATACCCTGGGAGCTGTGTAAATCTTTGTGAACCCCTGTGTTCCGGCTGTGTTTGAGGGGCCAGATACCTGGCGAGGAGGGGTCACTGGGAGACAAGGGCCATGACCCTCTGTGACCCTGGTTGATCAGCCTGTTACACTGCCCCCTGTCTGAGGCCATGTGTAGATACAATGCAGCCTATTCTTCCCCCGTGGCCATGGGGCAGCAGGCAATAGGCCTCCTGAAGGGGAGGCTCCGATGCTTGGATCTGTCTGGTGGGGAGTGGGGCCTTACAATACAGTCCAGACAGAGTGTGCCACATAACCTCAGCAGGCTGTGCTCAGCACAACTGGAGCAGGAGCAGAGAGGAAGTAACAGAGGCTGAGGAGCTGGGAGAGCAGGGGTCAGGTTTCTGAGAACATTGAGGAGGAGAACCATCACCCTCCGAATGGCAGACGTGACAAACTAGTCAGGACATCATTAACTCCCAGGTCCAGTGGATGTGAGCTGGGAGCAGAGATCACCCATTGCCTGTAAAATTGTTGTTGTACAATAGCCAAGCAATTCCTATTTATTCCTGGAAGCAAATGCAGCTCCTGTTTGCTTTATTTACTTTGGGTTTCGTGTTGATCAATAAAAGTTAATGTTCTTCACTGTTTGAGGGTTTTACAGCATGGGATGCTCCCACATTGGACCCTGACAAGATGTTATCAGCTACACTGGGCATTAGGGAAGGAGAGCCTTCCCTTATTCATGGTTTAAATATGGAATGGCACTGAGGACACCTTGTTTGGAGCCTGCTTTGTGGCGTTTCTCCCAGACCAGTCCCTGTAAAGGCCCAGTAACCAGTAGATAATTCTGTACAGGGCCAAAGCCTGCCCATTAGCATCAAAATTGTAAATGGGGTCTTGCAGTAATGGTGTAGGATTCTGGCTTGAATACAGGGAGCTTCCCATCAGAACAACTGCTCTGTGCTTCATCTATTCGCTTGGGAATGGTTTCAGATGCCCTCCCTCATCTCTCCCTCATTCCTCCTAATGACTGTCCCCTTCTCTGGAGGGAAATGGGAAGCTGCTAAAATCATTGCCCCTTTGTAGTCAGCCTGGGACTGTACAAACATGTCTCCTCTGTTACAACAGCAGTGTCAGTGACGTACCCTGTCTATCAAGAGGAGCAAGGGGAGCGAAAGTGGATGTACTCTTCGGCATTAGTGAGCCCCAGATGGAACTTTGAGTTCACTTTCTTCCAAATTTGATGCTTCTGAGCAGGTACCGTTCAGTTTATGGCCCAAGAAGATGATGCTTTCCTGATTACTTTTGCATGACATGAGGTCAATGGTCCTTCACTACACTCTGACTGGAGATCCTGGGAAATCTCACACCCAGTCAGCATTTCCCCACCCGCCAACCCCCTACTGTCTTATCACAGCTGCCCATTCTGAGACTATTTCAACTTTAAAATCTAAGTGTTCGCTGACTGTCCTGATCAGACTGAGCTAAAACGAATAAATATGTCGGCGAATCAATTCTAATGAATGTTTTCGAACATGCTCGTACACATACATAGTTTCAGATGCTTGACGAAACAGTAATGCAGATCTGGCCGTACTACTCAGAATAATCAAAGCAGAAACTGGCTAAGAACCACTGAAAAACAGAGGGAGAGAGAGCTGAACTACATTACCACTGGGTGTAATAAAGGGAGGAAGGTTCAGCTGCACCTATGGAATATAACCGATCAATAAGAGGCATCAGGTTCAGCAAACACCACTTACCAATCACAAGTTTGCTGTCACCATAATTACTGCTTTCCCTTATTTAGCTGCCAACATGTGACGTTGAATTGAAATCCAGTAAAGGCTGGCTTATTTTTAATCGATAATTTTCCTTCTTTTTTATTATGTGATTTATGACGTTGAATTCCAGTGCAGAGAATTCCTGGGAGGCTGGGAGTGTATTGGTCAGGAGAGCTCAACACTGGCAACTTTGGAATCTGATCCAGCTGCTGCGTAAGGTATCAGAATAGCAGCTGCTCCCAGGCTGATCCTGCACCTACTGGGTGACTAATAGCATTCCAGACGCATCGGCTGTACTCTGTATGTACATGTCCTCAGTCTGGTCTCTGTCAATTGCAGTTACACAGAGACAGCTTGGCCTAGCCGCACGGTCTCAGTGACCCATTGGATTCAATCCCTTTCAACTGGTACCCTGCGTGTCTCCTGTAAATACACCCGGTTTCCCTCCTATTTCTTTGGAGACACTCGTCAAATGACAGAATAAAGTTGGCGGCGAAGAGTGTTGGAGAGTCAGAGGATTTGGGAGCAGGACTTGGTTACACCAGCTTTGAGCACGTCAGTTGTGTCCAGTAACTTCTTTAAAGTGACAGGCTCGGGGCCAGGAGTCACTCAGTACTGTTGGTGGGACTACAGTCTGGTCACTCTGAAAACAGGGGGCTAACCAGCAGCTGATTGTTACTATGAAGAAGCAGAGCAGGGACTTTGGCACCAAGAAACCTGCTGAGAAAGGGGCTGGTGACATGGCTACGCACACGTCAGGCTCCAGCCCAGCAGGAGGGGAGGCCCAGATTGGAACAAGGTAATCTGAACAAAACCATCCACAACAATGTCTTTTCATAACATGGAGAAGCGCACGAAACATCCAGAGCTTTATTCCGTAAAAGCTGAGAAGATGAGGAATGTGCAAATATGAAACGCTGTCAGTTTGATGGCACCCGGTGCTACAAATAATGCGCGTGGGGGTGGGGGTGTGTGGGGGCGGGGGTGTGTGGGGGAGGGTGTCGCACGGATTCGGAAGCATGGCGAGGTGAGGTCAGTGCCTGACACAGTCCATCTGTGGATATTCCAGAAATGGTGTCAATCTTTACAAGTTGAATCAATTTGTGCTGCTGCGACTTTAAGTGATATATATTCGGATGAAGCCCAATGAAATCTCGTGTCTGGGCATTTTTACAATGTTCCACACAGAACAGCAGAGAGGAGGAGAGGCAGAGGTTGTTGCAAAGTTGTCCAACTAGTTTGTGTTTCATTTAGAATACACATAATAACGAGCATCAAAACACTGAAACTCTGACACTTAGATTTTAACATTGCACCTTCAATGTGGGTCTCGCCAATTGGGAAGCTCATCAATTACTAAGAGCTTTTATTGAACAAATCTCACCTACACGCAGCTATACAAGAAGAAACCAGTTCTTTCAAGTATAAAACATCCTTCTTGCTTTTCCTTAGTTATTATAATCTCTTGCATTAACTCAATTATAAATTGCAACATTTAAAAAAAGTTCAGCCAGTCTCATTGCATGTAATGACATGCCACTACAATGTCCATTGTTTATGTATTCTATTTAAGTGACCATGACAAGATTTATAAGACAGAAACTCTTTCAAAATTAACTCATATTTTAGAGAAAAGCAAAAGATAATTTCTGGACAATTAACATTAGATGACAGAATTATATTGTGAAATGCTTGTAAATTACTGAAATCATTCAACAATAATAATATTAAAATAATTCACACAATTTTAATCAATCTCTTTGAATAATGAATAACAAACACACATAAACACACACACACCCACACACACAGACGCGCGCACACACACGTACACATCTACATACAACCTAACTGTTCACAATGAGGATTCTAAACCCAAAAAAGGGACATTTAAAAAAAGGAATAAGTAAGAAAAATATCCACTTGCTTATAATAAAACAACGGTTGCACTTTTAAAGGCTTTTTGACTAAGCAGCACTGTGGGATATTGTGTGGGTGTGAAAGATGTTATATAAATGCAAGTGTTTTTACGACTTCCATTTTGGATCGAATAAGCCCCTGAAAAGTGGAATAATAATCTATTTTTGCTATCCATTTGTTGCCACAGACTCTAAGGCTAAACGTCAATGCTGCATATTGATTGGTCAGCTTTGATTAAGTGGATCCAGAAAATGAAAAATGCAGCATAAATAGTGAGGTGTTCTGGCCAATGTGAGTGCTAATGCACTTGTACTGCAAACAGGAGGATGCTGGGTTGTTGCTGTCCTTACCTGGACCTTTAGTTTCTGATCTCTAACAAGCAGAGATCTCAGTGCAATCATTCCCTTCCACACAGTGAGGAGAGGGAAAGACAGTATGAGACTGTACCTTCATGCAATCAGCGATACAGAGATATCGACAAAGGCTTGTGGATAGATTCCAGGCCATCAGTAGGAGTAACAGCATAACAAATTCAGGGAAAGTTAAGATTCTGGGTGGATGAGCCTAAAACCAAATCTTTATTTAAACTTCTGCTGATCACAGACCTCTGCTTAAACTCTAAAATGCAGCCCACTAATAAGGCTGCTGGTTTGTGCTTCCTCATAAAATAAAAATCAGACATGAATTGCAGAGAGTGATACTCGGGAGGTACAAGTTCCGGGGAAAAGGACCTTGACCCATTTAGTTGTTTTAAACCAGTAAGCTTGTTCATGAGCTGTAACCATGTTTTGATGGAAAATGAAATGCAGGTGCTGTACAAAAATAAACAAAAAAGATCACCCAAGTTCAGAAAACAATTCAATGTAATTTATGTGACTACATTTCAATGTTAAATTGATAAGTTCGATTTAGTTGTGATCATGTTTCTGACAAATGATGATTAAGACCAAATATATACGGTTACAATGTATTTCTTTTAAGAAAAAAAGACTTGCATTTATGTATAATTTAACAATTTTAACCTAATATTATGAATCTTAAAAATAATTTTGAGATTTCAAATCAAACTAATACGATTGAGCAGAAGTGTAAGAATTTTGGATTAAAAATCGGGTTTGAGTTTTGAATTTATTTTGCCTTCTCAAGCTGTGGTGAAAAAGTTTAGTCCTTCTGATATATACGGTTAGCTCGCAAGTTGTTTAGGTATTTGTTTCTGCTTTTGATGCATTTATGTTTAATGTTTCAATGCACTTACACAAGCTGCAATTTATTCATGCCAGTAATGAGGACCCAGCTCTGTATAAACCAGAGAGGTTTTGTTGCTGGAGTGGAATCTGTTTACGAAAGACAGAAAGACTTGAGAGCTGTAGGCTGTGTCATTAATGCTGGGAGGTTTAGCTGGCTTCAAAGTTTAGATACAGTGAGAAACTGTTTATGGTGTCAATGTTATAAAAGACATACTTTTCAAAAGGAACATTAGTAGAGTCCCTCAAAATTCTTGTCAAAGGTTAAATCTTCATGTGTGTGTTTCTTTTTCTTATCACTTGTCCGCATCTTCTGTAAAGTACTGTTGGATTTTTCTGTCTGGGAGAGTTGTGAACAAATGCAAGTTCTCATTGAATGTAGAAACAAGGCAGTTTCTGTGCAAAAATATTCAGTTTTGAAACATATCTTAAAGCTGCAGATAGCTTGTTTCACACAAAAGTTCCCTGAAACAGTGAGACTCATCCGTTTAACTGGTATTGCCAATAGTTGCTGGTTTGTTGATATGGAATGTATAACGAAGGAAAAGATTCTCACTTTCATCAGCAAAAGGAACAAAGCATGTCAGTCCCACATCTGCATGTACGTTACTGTCTCTAATAAAGACATGTATATGGTCAGGAAAGAATGGACAAAGCATTTCAAAACTGGGCGGACTTAACCTAAGTATTTTTCAGTTGAGGGAAATCAGCTCTGGCATGTGTCTGTCATTACATGGTTCTATTTGCGAGTTCCATTGTAGCTACAACTGCCCTGTGTCACAATGAAACAATTCTCACCGCTTTCTTTGTGCTTACTGAATAAACTAATTCAGGAAGTGGACGTACCATTGGAACACAAGGTAAATCATCTCACTTTAGACTGAACTTCTGGTAACTTGTAATGGGAATAAATGATCTTTGGAGAGAATTACTGCGAGGATGTGAAAACCCCACTTCCCTCACCTCATGTCAATGTGTAACAAAGTTTAAACCATGGTAACTTACAGGTAAAGATACAGTTACTTTACTGGCAAAATCATTTAAAAGTATATAAACAATCAAATGAAGGCTGCAAATTGTGCATTGTACATATCCTGCATTTCTAAATGAAGTAAACCTCCTTTCAATTTCAACATGTTTTGTTACTTTTGAAAAGACTGTACCAGTTTGGAATGTACCCAATACTAATCTGAAAATGCAAATCCATTGAAACTATATATTCGAAAATGTCAGAGTAATTTGCCACTGTCGACCTTTTTGTGAATCTTGACTAAAGTCCTACAGAAAAATTATTGTTTCGTGAAAGTAATGTTTATTTTGTTGACGAATTCTGTCTCTTTCCTTGAGCTGTCGAACTGGTAAATACTACTCATCTTATCACAAGCGCAAATATTGAAAGACCATCAGAAGTGTGCAGTTGATTGTAGTGTCTAATCTAGTGTATGATAATTCTAGCGAAAATCACAGAAGAACTTCATCAGATCTGCTCATTGCTCCCCTGTGGATCAGTCCTCCAGTGTAATCAATAGCATTTAATGCATAGTTAACACTGCACTACAAAACCCACAACCTCTGCAATTATTCTCCTTTAATTGGCTAATATTGCCCATTGGCCTTTATTTAAAGTTGCAGGAGTCAGAGTTTGAATGTGTGTCTGTTTTTATGTCACTGATGGTAAGGAAGCTCAATCCTTCGAACCCCAGTCTATTCAACACCAAGAGTTCTGGTTTCCATCATATCACATTATTTACTTCTATTTCTATACATCCTTTAATCTTCACATATAATGCTTTTGTGACAGTATATGCAGTTCATAACATTGCTAATTGTGAAATGGTACGAACAATTCTACAAAGTGCTAGGCTGTGCTACAGTGCATGTTTCAGTATCTCCCAGAATGATATCTAGAAAAGTCTTTGTTACAGTAATTTGGACTTTTGATGCAGCAGACATCTCAGTTAAACTGTGCACGAAGAATTTGGATGAAAATTTGACTGAAATAAATATTGAATTTTAAACAATTGCAGCTGCCAACTTGTTAAGTCACGGAACTTCAGGTGATTGAGGACCTTCCAATTTACTGGTCATTAATGTACTGTCGAATTGAGGTGTTACATCTTGCTCTGCTGGGAATTACCAACTCAAAGACACAGCATAAAAAAAACACCTCTAAGTTTCTTCTCTCCTTTTACACTTGTAGGATTGTTTTATTAACATCACACATCAAAACTGGATTAGGGCCACCTCCTTCCCACTTTCCATTAGAATTTAAAGCCAAGGCACCAATACTAACAACAATAAAACCATTCAGACTTACTGAGAATATTACTTATCCAGTAGATGAGAAATCATGAACATATATATGTTAACTGCTGATTTATCAAGAAGCTTATGTGATGAACATTTTCATAAATTGGGTGTCCAGAAAATCTTCAAATTGTTTATATCTATGTATCGATTTTAGTTTTAACTGAAAGAGTGAATGATTAAAACTTATATCCAAACTAATTCATTTTGTCTACCATTCACTTTCTTCAAACTATCAGACAGAACAACAAAAAGTGAGGGTAATCAAAAGGAATATGCTTTTTAAAAATTTATTTGGTACTTCAGCGAAGGTTACTTTCCTTAACAA